AGATCCACATGCACATCAACAAAATAAAGTCTCTAAGAAGTCCTGCAATAAGGTAACCCAAGTTTTGCTTTACTGCTCAAATTCATTTGGCGTTTTTTCAAGGACATTTCGAGAGAACAGTATTTTATAAAGCACAAATTGGGAATTCCTACTCTAATTGATCCCAAATATCAGAGTATGGTGATGATGTTGGTGGCAGATCAAAGAAGCACAGACAGAGAAAATCCCCCTCGCTCTGCCCCATACGTCTTCTAATTCCCAATTTGGACAAAATGTATTTTTGCCAGTAAATTTTAGTAATGCCTATACCACTCTGGAAAATGCCAAGTAGACTTCTTTACCAAATATTAATAAAAGCTCTAAACACTTCACCTAAAAATATGTATTGAATACTTGCTCATAGACTAATGCACTTAAGTTGCAATGAATTAAAATGTTTGTTCCTCATTCCTTTTCCAACTTCCAGTATGTTTGGCAATAAAAAAGAGTCACAGCAGTGATATGCTTTTCTACTAAAGTTACAGAGGATTTTACACACAACCAACTATGGAAATACTGACTCCACAACAGTGTACGGGTAGGATTATAAAAGAGTGCTCCTATTTAGAAATAGACATTTTTAGTTAACTGCTAAGGCAGAAAATATAAATGTAAAAAAGCACAAACATTTTTGGGAGTTATGGTTAAGTTCCTAGTTGGTATCCTCAGTAAAATACATATCTTCAGTGAACTAACTATCTTGGACTAAGTTAGGTTTATCTCTACTTTGGGGCAAATTTAAACTGTTTAAACATTATTTCTAAGATACAACATTAACCTGGCCGAGCCCTGATCAGTCTTTCAACTTTCTCTACTTTCTTTTCAACATGTCTGAATGCCCTTTAAAATGTAACAGAATATTAGAAGATATCAAAATCAGGTTTGTTCAGAATGAAAGGATACAGTTTATAATATTACATTTAAAATGCATATATGAATAATTTATTTAAATACAGCTGTCCTTTCAATCTCCATATTACTTTTATTTTTCTTTCTTGAATAAAGCAAGCAATGTCTGCTTAACAATTCTGTTTAGCAAGTCACAGAGTCAGTATATTACTTTTCTATTACAATTGTGAAGCATTCGTTCACTTAACAGCAAGTGATTCATAAAAATGCTTTCTCTTAAAAGAGGTAATCTACATGGTGTACACTAACTAGAGAACATGAATGTATACATTCTATTTAAGTGATAAATATAAACTCTTTAGATTGGTAAAATTTAAGGGAGGACTTTATTCAGCAAGAGGGGAAAAAATAGAATAAATTCACAATGCAACTGAAAATTCACTGTTGAATACAATGCCACAATAAAGTTGCTATTCTAAAGGTAGGTACATGTAAAAAAAATTCAATATTATAAGGAAATCAGTAATGCATAGTTTTGTACAATAAATTTTTTAGGGGCTCCTGGGTCACTCAGTGGTTCAGCATCTGCCTTCTGCTAGGGTCACAATCCCAGAGTCCTGGGATCAAGCCCCTCATCGGGCTCCTTGCTCAGTGGGAAGCCTGCTTCTCCTTCTCCCACTCCCCCTGCTTGTGTTCCCTCTCTCCCTGTGTCTCTGTCAAATAAATAAGTGAAATCTTAAAATAAATAAATAAATAAAAATAAATACTTTAATGTCCAAGATATTTCATCTCCTTTCCAAAAAATCAAGTTTTATAACAGAAACATTACGTTAACCTTGACTACTGCTGGTATAAGCTACAACAAAATTCTTCAACTTAGTGTTTGAAATATTTACCTAAATCTCCATACCAAGTCTTGAAATTTTTAATGGAAATAAGAGTAGTAAATTGTGCCCCAATCTTTGCACCAAAACAGAACAAAAAATAAAATAAAATTCACTGAGTAAATATAGAACATTGTGTATAGCTATGCATTCATATTGGGCATACATTTAACCATATGTAACTTCCAACCACATTTTAATTTCTTAAAGTCATTTGTGACTAACTGAATTCATAATAGACTGATTAAATATTTCAGAACATGTGTCAGGAATACAACTTTTTTGTCCAGTTAACAAATGCCCCTAAAGCACGTGGATATACTTTGCACTTTAATTTCTCCAACTACAAGAATGAAGAAAATATTACCTTATCTTTTTATAGTGATAGGGATATTCTAGTAATTACCATCTCTGGAAGAAATGGAGATGGACAGGCCAAGAAAGGAACTAAGTGAAAACAAAATATATGGACATGATGGAGGATTAATATCCAATTTTTAAATAGAGTACTCTCACATATTACTAGTAGGCATGAACATTTAAAACATTAAATGCCGGTGTTTAAACAAATCATCAATCACATTTTCAATTTTAAACTTTGAGAAATTTTTATACGCAATCTACAACTGAACAAAGGTATGTTTGATACAATCAAGCAAACTTTCTGACAGACCACTGAACTCAAGTCTCTACACTCAAGACTATGTTTGTATCAAAACGAACAGAAATGTTAGAATATATACATGGCCAGCACACTAGTTTGCTCCTCTTTATTTAAATGTTTGTAATATCATGAAGATGTACCATATCTTCATCCTGGCTATACTAGGCTAACAGCCATCCATCCAATGTAATCATGAAATTACAGAGGTATGTCAGCAAATATTAAACTTATAGAGTAAATGAGAACTGATATGTGTAATAGCAGTCGTATAATAGTCAAAGGAAAAGCAATTCTTATTTTAAAAAATTATTCTACCCGTGATTTATAAAACACACTGCATTGTCTGCTCATCAGAAACCATGATATTCAATTTGATATATCAAAGAGGGAACTCACAAAGTCACTTTATTACTATTTCTTACTATAAAGAGGCACTCTTATGGTTAAGTAACAGAATTACTGTGAAAGCTTGGCATCCTGTCTGCCAGTTAAGATTTTTCAGAGGAAGGTGTAAAACCCAGCATAATACATGTCCTCTAATTGTGCAATATTACACCACCATCAAAAAAAAAAAAAATCTTTCAAGGTTGGTAGTACCCAATTTTTGACCAGCATATTTCTCCTGTATTTCTTTACAAGCCATGCAAATCTTCACATGGCTTTATTTTCCAAAACAAATGCTTCAACTTTTTTTCTAGTAGCCTAGCTACAACCCTACAAAAACAAACCTGGAGAGTGACATATGGAGGAAAAACAAGTTTAGCTAAGGACATAGTTCAAAAAGCAGCTTCTAATAGGAGCATAAAGCTCAAATTGATCCGAGAACAATGTAAAGAGTTGCAAACAACCTGAAGCTCTGCATTTAAAAATAGTACTTATAAGTACAATCAATGAATGATATGATCTCCGGATAGAAATTATAACTGGAAAAACAGTGTTTATGTAACTTACAAAAAAACTGGAATTCTAGACATTTAATTGAATATGCTAAAATCCTGTTTGTATATTCTTCACAATAACACACGTCTCATGAACCACTCATATCATTCAGTACCTTCTGGATATTAAATATCAATCAATCAATCCAATAAATATCAAGCATAACTTTAAAATGTGTTTTAAAAAGTTTAAAATCCAAACAGTTCAAACTGATTACCAAAAAACCAAGACCTGTATTAATTATATTCCTCTCAATGTTATAAATGGAAATGAGCAAATGAATTAGCACCATAAATATAAAATTCTCTACTTCTCACCACATTACTAAATCAACAGTTTGGGGGGTTAATTTCACTTTGTTTATTGTTTTAGACCTTTATTTAAAAATGTACTCTGACACACACTGCCATCACGCACACACTAGAACAGATAACAACTAGCCATATTTAATATTTTCTAGACTTCTGTGTAACTCAGTAACTACCCACAAAGTTCTGTGAACTCCTCAGCTTCAAGCCTGAAGTCAATCTAAGATAGCCAACAGAAAGTACACCTGGGCAATTACTGCATTTCCTACTTCAGAAAGCTGAACTTCACACAGAATATCTACATTTGGATATTTCATTTGGAGCAATGATAAATGCCAAACTCAAACCATGCAGAAGCCATGTTAACTAAAAAAAGGCTATCCCTTTTTTATATCCCTTTAATTATATCATTATTAAAAAGCAATAAATATGAAGAGCATTATTTTAGTTTTAAATAACCACCACCAACTAAAGACCCTCTATGAGAAACTAAGCATTAAAAATAAAAGATGACCTCATGATACATTACAATATGAAAATATTATCAGAAAAAAAATATAAAGCTTAATCAGAAAATATATTACCTAAGCTGCATGACCTATCAACTGAATAAGAAATTTATTTTGTCATATAGAGTCAAAAAAGGAGGGAGAGAATGAAAGGAAATCCAAATCATAATGTCCCCTTTCACAGTATCCTTAATCTTCCTACATATATAATAATCCTTTTGAACGTTTTTATGTCACTCAAAGATTCCAAAGAACTTATTTGAAAAACAATCCTGGTCACCTAAGGCACCAACATGTTATGCTGTGTGGAAACATTCTACTGAGAAACCACTCCATTACATGATTCCACACAAGAGGTTTCACTTTTTTAAAATCTTAAAGTAAGAATTTAAAAAGGCAAAGGAGTTTCCAAAGCAAAGTAAAAATTTTCCCAAGGGATACAAAGTTTCATTAACTATCTTAACTCTTTTACTAAGCATCACCTCTCTGCCCCTCCGTGGATATCAAGCAATCAATAACAATGTCACAAAAGAATGTTTACCAAGATGGGGGGTGGTGTGTCACCTGTAATGATCCTGTATGAAAAATGTAAACAATCCTAAAAAGGGTGAGGAAAACTTTCACCTTCCTACAACCCCACTTTATGGATATTTGATGTTTCTCAGACTGAAAAAAACGAACAGAAGTTTAGAAACTGCTTGGTGAGCAAGGTTTGTTTGGGGGGGGTGGGTGTTCTTTTTTCCCTAAAAACAAACGTCCCCTTAAGTCCCTCAATTCCAAATACTGTGAAAGAGTCACTACTACTCACCGCAAGTAATACTGTTTTAAAGCAAAGGCAGCGTTAGAACAACTTCTGGGAAAGTTGAACTCTTCAACAATTTCTCCCCACTGATTCTTCTCAGAAACCTGTTAAAAACACAGCCACACTTGTCTGAGAGTGCATCATCCAAGAAAACTCTAACCTAACTATGAAATAAATACCCATTCTACAGAGATCTGTAGATACCTCAGGCATCAGTGGGTGTTTCACATCGATCCGTAAGAGTAACTAAGCAAGGGCTGCTTGAATCACTGTGTTTTCACCCGAGAGCCCAGTATTTAATAGCACTTGTTTTGTTTGGGGGGCGGGAGGGGGGTGGTGGGTTTGTTTTGTTTTTGAAGCCCGGACAATAACCAATCGCAAGTCCCTCTGTCGCCCCCTTTTAAATCTCAACGCGGTCCGTTTACACTAAAAAAAAAAAGTTCAAAAGGATCAATACTGTTCCGGACAGCGACGTCCGCAGGTTCTGGGGGGGCCGGGGCCGGGGCCGATTCCGATCCCTCTCCCAGATCTATCCATCTCCATAGGCCCTTCTTTGAGGCCTACAGCTTCTGCCTAGCCTTGAAGCCTAAGATGGCTATTTGGAGACAGGTCCTGGTTTCTTTTGTTAGCTGTATAAACCGAGGGCGACGGGGCCGAGGCTGTGCCCCCGGCTGCCGGGATCATTTCGCAGCCGATTATCGATGTTAAACCTGCCCGCGCTAATTTTGAGTTGCACGAAAACTGCTCTCAGAGTCTGTGTGTCTCTGTGTCTCCGCCTGTGCTAGAGCGGCAGCGGCGGCAGAGCTGACTCGCGAGCGAGCGAGCGGGCGGGCGGGCGCGGGCGCGGGGCTCGGGCGGGCGCCCCGCACGCCCGCACTCCCCGCCGCGGCGCTCAGACCCCGCCGGGCCGGCCGGGCACCGGGCAGGGCGCGAGCCGGCGCCGGGCCGCCCGCCCGCCCGAGCCCCGCGCCCGCCGCGCGCACGCGAGCCACCAGGCCAAAAACAGCCCCGCCGCCGTCCGCCTCCGTGCCACCGGCTGGGAGCGAAAAGAACGCCTTTTGCCCCCGCGGGCCACCCCCCCGGCCCCGAGCGCCCACTCCGGGGTCAAAGGAGACTTTTTGGAAGAGGCCAGCGAGAGGGAAATACAAATTAAAACTTCCACTCACCTTCGCGAATCCGCCTAAAGTAGTGACTCTGGTGTAGAGACCGTGAAGATCCAGCTCCTTCCCACCCACCGCAGGGATTTTTTTAAAAGGCGACCTGCGGGAGAGAGAAAGCCCCGCACTTGTCAGCCGGGACCCCGCGCCCGGCCCGGGCGGGAGAGCCCCGTTCGCCCCGGCTCGCCCCGGCGCTGCCCCCCCGGTTCTGCTCTCACCCTCTGCTGTGGTGGAACTGCCGCAGCTCGTCCAGGAAAGCGAGTCCCTTTCTCCGCTCGTCCGGAGGCGCCTTCCCCGTCGAGTTTGCCATTATTTTTTGAAAGGAGGTTTTTAAAAAACCCAGATCGGTGTTTTAAAAGCGCCCCCCGCTCCCTGCGCTTCCTACCAGAGCCCGGAGCCCATTCCTCGGCCGGCGGCGGCGGGGCTCAGTCATGGGCCGGCGGTGGCGGCGGCGGCGGCGGCGGCGGCGGCGGCGGCGGCGGCGCAGGGAGGGAGGGAGGGAGGGGGAGGAGGAGGAGGAGGAGGGGAAGGAGGGAGCAGGAGGCCAGGGGGAGAGGAGGGAAGGAGGGAGGGGAATTTCTAAAAAAGTTTAAAGAAATCGGAGCGAAACTAGAGGGGCAGGCGACTGCCGGATCCGCGCGAAGCCGCGGGGCGAGCGCGGCCCCCACCCCTTCCTTCCCTCCCCGCGGCCCGGCTCTCGCCCGCCTCTCAGCGCCGCCGGCCCAGGCGGCTCGGCCTGGGGACGCGATTCAACATGGTGCTGCTGCCGGGGGCGCGCGAGCGGGCGAGGGGAAAGGCGAGCCGACGGTGAGGGGCCGGGGCGGCCGGAGGCCCGGGAGTTTCGGCGGCCGCGGCGGCGGGGCTGGGGCAGGCGGGGCTGGGGGTGGGGAGGGGGAGGTCTGTGTGGTGGTTTGTGGAAAGAGGGGTGACAGCGTGTATTCCGGCCGCAGCTCCGCGGGGCCCTCGCATACATTCACGCGCGGCCTCGGCCGCGGCGGCTGGGGCGTCCCCGGGCAGAAAGCACCGGCGGCAGCCGAGCCGCTGCGCGCCGCCCGCCCGCTTCCTTCCCAGCCAGCCTCCCTCTCTGCCGCCGCCAGCGCCGCCGCCACGGCTGGGCACCAGTGCCGCACAGCGACCCCCGAGGGCCGGCCGCGGCACTGCGCCTGGCTCCACACCGCCCCGGCAGCTCCTCGCGGGGAACAATAGACTCGGCTCGCCGGGCTTAGGGTTCATCTGCAATGTGCCGCACATTTCACACGCACACAAAGCCGGCGGAAAGGGGGGCGGCGCGGGGAAACGGCCACTACCGGTTGTTCCAGGGTTAGGGGTGGAGGCGATGTTCGCGTCCCCGGCCCGGCTGTTGGAAGGGCCGACTAGGAGTCCCTGCCAGCCCGACAGAACCAGTCTGGCGCTCGGTAGGGAAGGCAAGCTCCGAGGGGTAGCTCCTCACGCTACGCATCATTCACAGATCGGAATAAAGTCAATTTCTTACCTTTTTTTTTTTTTTTAAGGTCTAAAGGAATCGGCTTTTCTGAGCCTTGTGCTAGTATTTTTGGGCCTGATTAGCACATTTTCCATGAATTATCCACAGACTAACTTTAGCAAACTGTAAATTAAATACAATGTGAACTCTCCTAGTTCTGTGGAAATACAGTAATGCTCAATTCATCCTGCTTTTGGTTGGTTTCACATATCAGACTAGATATTTTATGCTGAGTTATGCAAACGGTAGTTAAACTGGTTGGGAACTAATCTTTTGAACTTCTGACAATAATTAACGCTTTTAATGTTATATTAAGGTATCTGAAAGATAGATGCGCTTAAGCAAATCTTGAGTAAGACCTTGTTCTTCTTGCTTTCAGACGTCTCAAATACATCCCCGGTTAAAATATGTTGAAGGTTAATTTTAAAACAGCCTGCCCGAAGAGATACTAATCATCTCAACAAATACTCCCACCTAAGTTTGCATTTACAAGGGGCGTTGGAGTCGGACCTTTACTACGAATGTTAATTAAGCGTCACAGTATATGAGGCGTATCATTATTCCCATTTTAGTGATGGCTACTATGGGCAAAGTCACCGAGTAACCCAAGGTCACAGGCTTATAAAGGTCTGAATGATTATCATTTCAGGTAGTGGTTCCAATGGGAACATTTATTTGGTGGTGAAAAAAATTATGTAATATAGCCCAGCATGCTTTCGGTGCTCACTCTAGGAAACGGATTTATTTCCCAAGAAAAGTTTCTCTTAAATGGGGTTGGAATGAGGCTGTGGCTAGGAAGTTCCTGACACCCAAGGGCCAGTGAGCGTCTCGGAAGTCAGTGAAAGGCGGAGACCGCGCTGGGGGAGTGGAGAAGCCGGGTCTGGTCCCGCGGCGAGGGGGGGCGGGGTAAGAGGGAGACCTGGTCATCCCTCCCTTCCCCCACCGGTCCTCTTAGGGGTGGTGGAGATGTGGGCCTCAGAGTTGCGTGGCCGGGGCTGTGCGGATTCCCTAAATGCCGCACTTGCTCACAGCCCCTTACGTAACTGTCAGCGCCGGGGATTCCCTAGAGGGGGTCATTCTATTCAACCATTACACACACCCCGGGCTGCTGCCGCCGCGCCGCCGCCGCCTCACAAAATGGCGGCGCCCATAGAGGAGACAGCGGCCGCCTCCTCGGCCCCATTTTGTGGGAGGCGAGAGATCTGTCAACATGGAATACCTCGGCTGAGGATACATCCGAGTTTGGAGATTCTGCTTAAGAGATGGAGCCGAGGGGACCTCATTCAATGGAAAATGTCAGCGACTTCTGTTACCTCCACGCTTTTTTTTTTTTTTAAACTATTTTCATTTTCTGGAAGGAAACGCCGGAAGCTGCCGGGGTAATTGTAACTAAGGGGAGAAGGGAAGGCTTCAGCCGACTGCTCAGGGGACTTGCCGCGGCGTTTTGGTAGCTTTCGTTGCTCTTCCGCGCTCCCGGCAGTTGACCGCGATCTCGCGGAGAGTCGCCTGAGCGGGCTGGCCCGCTCCGAGGGGACGGGGACTGGGCGACGCGGGACGAAAGCGGCGGCCTCAGCCGCGCCACTTGTGCAGCGAGACTTTTCGACAGTTTTTAAAATGCCAGAGTCCACAGCACCCTCGGTACCCCTCATCGGGGTCGTGGGCTTGGGAACCTCGGACGCCCAGCTTCGGGAACCCGCGGTCCGCGGGGAGCGGGAGCGCTGGGAAGCCGGGTCGCTGGAAACCGGCGGTACTTGGGGATTCCGGCAGCCCCGGCCCGCCGGGTGGTCGCGATCCGCACCCGGGTCCGGGATAGTGCTGATGGGGCAGGAGTGGGAAGGAAGGCATGTACACTGAAATTTAGGTCGTCGGAGTCGGGATTTAGGGTTGTGTGTTGCCAGTGTCTCAGGTCAGACGTTAGAACATCTTTTCTAGTATCCTACTCTGCTGTGGGCAAATCTGTTTGTCTTGTTTCATATGAAGGGCGGAGTGGAGGGATGACTTTTTTTATTTTTCAGGGGGAGGTTGCCACTTTTAAGCCACTGTTTGCTGTTAATGTGTATTTGTGTGTACACACATGCATATACAATAGTGTGTTTTGCTTTTAATTACAAATTTCGAAGGATAAAGACCTGGAGTGTGATACTAACGTTTTAATGACCTTTAAAAAAATTAAGATGTGGTATGTAACTGGAGAGTTGACTCTGAAAAAAACAACCCTTTTCTGAAAAGAAGCTGTCATCTTCAAAATGGAGTCCTAAAGTATATCTGATGAATAGAATTTAAATTCATAACACTTTGGATATGCTGTAGACAAAGAAAAAAAAACATAAAATTTAATGTTTAACAGATTACTACATGGTCCAACTTCTCCAAAACTAGAAAAAGGTAAAGCAAAATCTGTTAAGGGTATTTGCTTGTAAGAGGAATGCATGGGTTTAAAAAAAGAGGAGATACATCTGTTAAAACTTAAATATGCATTTTGGGAATAACTTATTTCAGATTTTTTTTACAGTGGCAGCAATCATTTGTATTTCCATGAGGGTTTTTTTTTTTTAAGCGTTTTATTTAGGTTGCTTTTGACGCTCATATTTCCTCTCTAGTGCAAAACTGCGTTTTTCTGCAGGCTACGCCTCAATCACTAAGTTCCATGCCCCATCCCCTGCCGCACCCAATTGCTACTCCTGACGTGTGGATTACCAAGATACAGTCTCTGGTACTGTCTGTTCCTACTGATGCTCTTTATATTTAATAAATTTAGTTATCACTAATCAGTCTGTGCCTCTGGCAAGAATACCCTATCTTAGACCCCAAGTGCGCAGGGAGTATTTTTTTATGGGATTGCAGTAATAGTAACCCTAAAGCATAATTTTACATTTCTCTGTACCATATTGCATTTCCTATAGTGGGCAGCATAGAGCAGGTGGATCCTGGAAAAAAAAAATGTTAGAGAAGTACAACAGTTTTATACTATTCTCTAATTTGATGATATAAATAAAATGTAGTTCATAGTTTTCAAGCATTAATAGAAATTATTCCTATAAAAATTACCAGTGACAATGGAAATTGCTGAAATTCAATTTGTATAGTTTACTGTTCTGATGAGAAATACTGACAAAACCTTTTGATGTGAAAAA